GCAGGGAAATCAAAACCAAATTGGATTTCACTCGCTTTTCTTTTGAGAAGTCAGGGATAGAGTCTAGTGTAATGTTACTTAAGACTTACTCGTCCCTTGGAAAATAAGGAAACAAAAACAGGCCTCGTCCATTGAGAACCAAGGAAAAAATAGGCTGTAAATTCGTCACAGTCAGGTACGTTTAGGGCAGTAAATGGGCCGGGATGGGCCCAAGTCGATCCGGATCCGTCTAGGTCTAAGTTAGACCCAGGCTTGAGCCAAACCTTGGTCAGATGCAAGTCAATTATACCCGGGCCCGTCTTACCAAGTCAGGTTGGGTGCAGGTTCAGAAAAAAAATATAAATAAGGATCCGGTTTCTATGCGGCCAAGCATATGTAGAAATGCGGGCCTCTTGATAAATCTATTTTTTAAATGAATTTTAAGACTTAATTTTTAAGAACATGTAATCTCTAACATGGAGATCATTAATATGAAAAAATAAATAAATTTGAAAATCTAAAAATAATAATTCTAACAAGAAAACATTTAGACTGTTAGTTTCCATTATTTTTAGATGGAACACCTACTTGCATCCATCATTAAGATGGATGCTTTATATTTTTTGATGCGGTCTAGCCCGTATGAAACAATTTTTTTATAAATAATATTTTTTACATTATAAAGGTAATATAGATGTACATGTGTCTTATATCTACCGGGTCAAGTTGGGTTGTCGTTGGACTAGACTTGACTGCACCTGACCTGACACGGTCCATCCTGAAGCCATCCCGGGTCAAGGTCAACAAAACCAGAAATTCTGTCTGGACTTTAGTGAAATAATAAATAGCGCATGAATATTTAGCATCATTGAAAATTTGCAACCATGCATTGCCAAGCCCTCGAGAAAGATGCTTCTCTTTTGATCTATAAAAAGGAAGAAAGAAAGAAGCGATTGTACTGCATATTGCTTTGCAAGAAGCAGCCATTATGTTGTTTACTGTACCCAGACTTGGCCGAGTTACTCGGACTCGCCCTGGGTAAGGCAAATTTCACCCGAGTGTATTGCATAAGCTATATATATATGAGTAATTATCCTATAAGACTCTCTCTCACTCATGTGTGTAGGACTTCAAAAGATCACCATTAAAGTTAGCACATGGATATCTAGAAATAATATATAT